CGGGTTTTCTCACAGGCCATTCTGTCAGTCAAAGTAATGTACTATCTATTACGTAATTAGTTCTTGTACAATAAAATAAGTTTACTCGACTTAGCTTATCTCCGATTAAGTTAATGTTTTCCCTATTGTTTTTAAAAGTAATAATGGAATTTTATCTACCGATTAAAAAACATTTGTTCTTTCTACTCCACCATAACCTTGATATTGATTTTATTATATATTTATTAGCTTATTCATAATGAAAAAATGTAATCCGAAATCCGTATTTAAGGTATACATGTTTTATAGCTAGTTTGATAGCAGGTGTGTCAGTAATGATTTGTTTCGACAGTAACTGGTTCTATTATGAATAGAATATATTATTAGTATCAACTTTTGTACTATACATGATGGTGATCCATCGACCTTGACATCGCAGTCTTATATACTGACGCAACCATTTTTTATGTGTCCTACAATTCTATCACAACAATCTAGCAAATATCACCTTGTTTAAATTAGTTTTTTGATAAAACATTTGTGTTTAGATTATTGTATGAATATACTGTCAATTTTTAAATTAAATGTTTTTACTGACTCTTTAGTTCGGTAATATTACCGAAGTAATTAGACAGTAAAAACAAGTCAATTTGTTTATTGCACTCCATAATGTATACATGACACGGACACAAAGAACACTCAGACTCAGAACAACAATTTGTGGATCAAACAAAGTGTTCAATGGGGATCGGACTCACAACACTCAGCGTAGTAGTGAACGGCGAGGCGACCGCTTAAACCACTACGCCATCCGTGCAGTATATACCAATTATACTTACTTTTGTTTGATATAAGGGTCGCAGAACCTTACTCATATAATATCTGAACTATTTATTTTAAATACATGGTAATTTGAACTTAGAAAACAGTGGCAAACAGTATGCGATAACGGCTGCGCTATCACTCGTTATTTAACAGGAACGTGCAAATACTGTGTTTAATATTCTATAACAAAATAACGAGTATTGTTTTGTATACTTCGTGTACCTTCTAATCACGTTTGTTGAACAATTGATAAATTAACTAGAATGTGAGAAAATACATCAACATTGAAAACTAAACTATTCAAGATTTTTATCGACTGGCCTGTTATTCTAGGTCGGAGGTAATGGATTCGATTCCCACCTAGGACAAATACTTGTATGATAAAGATGTTCATTTATATTGCGTTAACGTATTCGGGTTACCGTAGAACAGGTTGTGCCTAGTTAGGGGTCCGACGACCGTGAGATGTGTCTAGTTATAATTTCAACTCAATTTCTGTATACTACTACAACTAGCTGTCGCCCGTGGATCCGCCCGGGCGGCGGTACGATATGAATATAATTTAAAGCCTGTAGCACTCAGGGATAATACAGTTACATATTAGTGAAAGAATTTTCAGAATCGGTTCAGTAGTTTCAAAGATTACCCCCTAATTACAAATAAATTTTACTTATTTATAATAAATAGTATAGATAGATAAATAAGTTGAAGTAAATATATCATTAATACACATAAAAATAGATCAGACAATTTTTTTCACATCAACAGCCTTTAATAGTCCACTGCTGGACACAGGCCTCTCCTTACAAAGGAGGTTTTGGCCTACCACCACGCCACCAGACGGGTTGGTATAAGATTTGTGTCAAGTTTTTCTTCTCTCTGCAGTGCTGTTGTTCTGCGTAGTTTTCTCCCTTAGTTGGCTCTTAAGACACCCACGGGATGAATAGAGGTGGTGACAGTCTGTATTCTTAATCCGTCAGCACACGGACATTTTTTAATGAATCTAAGTATCTTACTTAAAATATCAAAAACACAAATACGTACTGCCATCTTGTGTGAACGTGTCATCCCCACTAAATCTAACACCGGGTATTCGCGGTTGGCCAAACGGTTTCTAGGACAAGACTGTGACGAATGCTTAGTCAAGTACTTAATACTGTAAAGTTATTAAACAATTATGTATCTCACACGTCATAGTTCGACTAGCATTCTACTTGTATCTAATCAGCTGTTGATTTCAAAGTGACGCAACAGATAATTTCGCAACCGGAACCTTAATAAAATTTACTTTTTTTTAATTTGAAAAATTTATAAATCAATAATACTCTTTTTTTATCTGTGTGGTGACGGATCATAACCCCTCTTCATCCCGTGGGTGTCGTAAGAGCAGACTAAGGGAGTAAACAACGCAAGACAACAGCACTGCAAAGAGAAGGAAAACTTGAAACAAACCCTATACCAACCCGTCTGGCCAGCGTGGTATAGTAGGCCAAAACCTCCTTTCTAAGGAGAGGTCTATGTCCAGCAGTGGACTAGTAAAGGCTGTTGATGATAATGATGAATACTCTTTATTCAGCATAAAAAAAAAATGTTTTGAGATACCACACACCCACACGAAATATCTCACAACCTGGTTATATTAGAGAGTACAAAACTTATATAACACATTAAATCCTCATCCATGGTGGCCATGGTAGTCATGTAGCTTGAACTAACTCTTATTGGATTATTCTAGCGAACTAATTGGAAGGACATCGTGGGCCATTCACTATTGTATACAAATTCAATACTGTCCTACTTAAACTGGTAAAATAGGTATAGATATCGGTTGGTTTATGTAAAAAATACGTTGATTGGGACTCGTTACTGCGTATGTTAAAATTCGATTATATTAATCCATTTTAAAAATAATTACTTCATACATTTCACACACGGCAGTCTGATCCCAAACTTAGCGAGACAACAGCACTGAAAAGAGAAGGAAAACTTGAAACAAACCCTATAGGTAGATTAGATACCAACCTGTCTAGCCAGCGTGATATAGTAGGCCAAAACCTCCTTTCTAAGGAGAGGCCTATGTCCAGCAGTGGACTTGTAAAGGCTGTTCATGATGATGATTGATGATATTTTGTGTCTTTACATACTGCGATGCATAAAACCAATCACTACCAACCAATCAGGAACATATATGCATACATGACACTCAAACTGTGCCTTTTATCGAAAGCAAAATATCGACGCATATTCACTTTAAATACATAATTAAGTCGTTTTAACATTTCTACTCGCATTGGAGCTGTTTTAGGCTGTTTAGCTAAGAGGCAATGAACTTAAATTAGGCCCGATTTTAAACGATGAAATCCTATTAGCCAAGTAACAACGCACCTTTAAATTGGACAATGCCATAACTCTGTATAAAATGAGTCTCCATTTAACATTCGTTCTATACGATTTAAATGGTTAACATCAATTATAACCATGGTACTATGAAGATTGCTTGACATAGTACTTGTCAAGGTCCGTGGTTTGAAGGGAATTGGATGAAATCACATGACCAAAAACGATTTCTTTTCACTTTAAAGTCTATCTTTCTTTTTTCGTTGCGAGTCCAAACCAGAACTCTCCCTGATTCTGGAAAGGAGGATTCAGAGTGGTGGAGATAAGTCTGGAGTTACAGATGACGAAGTGCGTTGGTATTCAGTCACCATCAGGCGACCCGACTACTCGTTATCGTAAAAATACTTGCACCAAAAAATCTTATTGAGACAGTGAATAAATATTTTCATAATACTGTATAGTACGAAAACTGCAATGTTTATTTCTTTTGTGATTCACGATACGTACCTCACATGAACGAAACAGTAAAAGGAGGGTTCGTCAAGCTACGCGTGTAAACATTTTTTTTTTAAATTAGGCTTTGTTATAGAGTCATCCATTAATCGAAAGCACGTCATTTTATGGCTTTTTAGCATTTTTCAACTACATCTAAAACGTGATAATGCCAGCGCGGGCTTGAAAAAAATGAATTTAAGCAGTTACTGTATATTTTTTTCTGAGTGCCGATCAAACGTCTATGGCATAGGTATAAAAGTGGTATAGTAAAATATTATCATATTTAATAATTCACTTGTGATAAAAAAGTTATCGGTAAGTTCCCGGCTGAAGAATTCTAAGAGTTCTGAATGTATGCCAGCTGTAAAGATTAAATAGTTCACTAGATTATTATTTGATATTTGTTTGATTATTATGGAAATGTACGACGTTAACAAGAAAATGAAGTGGCTAAATGATACTTTACTTCTTAATGTGTTTCTGAATAAAATGGCCAGAGTTCTTTCTACAAGACTTTCTGACAGTAATTTGTTCCTTAGAGAAGTGATCTTATTCTTTCTAATTCTGACACCCATTAACAGTTGAAGACTCAAACGGTACTTAAATATAAGACGTAATCAAGTGTCTAGACATAGCAGAAAGTAGCGTCTCATCTTAGTGACAGTAACTTCTAGAGAATAATTTTATGTATTAATAGAGGGAAAATTAGCGCTAGCGAAAGCTAAAAAAAATATTATGTATGTATAATATGTAATAAAAAAACATAATTAACGTGCGTGGTAGATGCTAGAACACATTCTCGCCACTTACTTGTACAGCCAAGTTTTAAGTTTATAGTTTGGATTTTTAATGAGACGGCCCAGAGACGGACGATGAATTATAATTAATTATTGCCTTTTTAACGCTCCCCCTGGACACGTCGGCACACAACGAAGTCAGGGTCGCTACCGTTCTCGAGATGGGTAAGGCATGTGGTTTTTACCTATTAACTTTCAATATTTTGGTTTTAAATTAGTACCTATTTTGAGTATCATGTTTATTTAGGATTTAGAGATTCCCATCCTGGCAAAATAATTCTGTGATGAGTATGATCATTATAGTCTGACTGGATGTAATTATCTATAATATCTACGTATTTATATTTATAAGTACCGATTTATCGGCCGTCTGGTTACTATAGCACAGGCTCTGCCTGGTTTAGGATCAGACGGCCGTGTGTGAATCGTGTCAAATTATTATTATTACTACTAAAGACCGCTGTGTTATCAATTATTTTAATTGAAAAAAAAAATTATACCGCTCAAACTAACGCCTTTAGCCCAATAGTTTAATAACATAAAAATAACGAAATTGCTATTTTCCAGGTGATGCAACAAGACGTGAAGAAAGAAAACCCGTTGCAATTCAAGTTTCGCGCCAAATTCTATCCCGAGGACGTCGCCGATGAGCTTATCCAAGAGATCACACTCAAACTCTTCTACCTTCAGGTATCATTATTTTAACGAATTACTTAAAAACTTTTGACAAGAAAACTTGTAGTGCTGTACTGTACTCGTATATACTCAAATACTAAAAAGAGCGTAGTTGGAAGCTGCTTAACCGATTATAGTAATTCTTCGAATTGAATTGTATTTAAAAAGACAACTCCCGCATTAGGAATATATATACTGTGTCGCGGGGGACCTTAAGAACATACCTGAAACTGACACAAAGAACACCCAGACTCAGTACAACAATTTGTGGATCTCACAAAGTGGTATCCCAGGATCGAACCCACAACACTCAGCGCATTAGAAAGTCTGAAATAACATTGTATACAGTATATTGCCGTTATAATTATGTAGATTGGTAAGTTTTTAATATCGATTAATATTAGTAGCTATCTGCTAACCAATCCATACTCTTTCAGGTGAAAAATGCGATCTTATCAGACGAAATTTACTGCCCGCCGGAGACATCTGTACTCCTCGCTTCGTACGCGGTACAAGCGCGGCATGGCGACCACAATCCCGCCATACACGGGCCCGGTTTCCTCGCTAATGACCGTTTACTACCCCAACGTGTCACCGATCAGCATAAGGTTAGTATTTCTGCTTTAATAGGCGCAATACACTTTGAGAAAGCATCCTACAACAGTTTACTTGGATTCTACAAGTGTATCGCCTGAACATAGAAAGAAATGTAGATAGCATTGTGGAATGCGATAATTTCGATTTTATCAACGATTGTTGGCCATGTTAAGAATTCATATTTGTATGTTTGTCCAATATGATTAAAATGTTTGCTTCCCTATGCCATAGATTTTTTTGTATATAAATAAAGTAATTTATTTAACTAATAAAATACATGCAACCATTATTTGCTTTAATCTAAGATTAGGGCTAGTAACGTTTTCATAACAATACCCATTAAACATGCTTTAATAATGTTACCTGTTGAAATTTAATAATAAGTGGTTCGGTCATTAAATAGAAGTAATGTAAATTCTTCATTAACTAACATTTCCATTTAACATACTTTACTAGCCTGGCCTTAAGGCTGAGTTTGCTTGTTTTATTAACTCCATAATCATCGTGAATTTCCAACTCTGCAGATGTCCCGTGATGAATGGGAACAGAGCATAACAAACTGGTGGCAAGAGCATCGCGGTATGCTGCGCGAGGATGCCATGATGGAATACCTGAAGATTGCACAGGACCTAGAGATGTACGGTGTCAACTACTTCGAGATCAGGAATAAGAAGAACACCGAACTGTGGCTCGGGGTAGATGCCCTCGGATTAAATATATACGAAAAAGACGACAAGTGAGTGAAATTACATATTTGTTAAATGTTTTATCCGGCTCGAAAGACCATGAAAAAACAATCTCAGAACTAGTATCTATTTCGGGATTTCTCCGTTTGAATCGCCTCAATTTTTTTGGGTTTAGTGGGAGGAGTCTGCAAGAAGATCGATGCATTAAATTCTTGTTATATAACTAACTAGCTGGTACCCGCGACTTCGTTCGCTTAGAATTTGAAAAGCGCTGCCTTAGCGGGTTCTATGCCCGGACTGGACCAAATTTTAAAGGGTTTTTCTGAGAGGAAAAATGGCCTTAGTTATTCCTTATGTAGACAGCTACCTGGTTGTAAAATATTATCGAAAACGTTTCAGCCGTTTAGAAGATTACCCGAAACAAAGAGACAGACAAACAAAAAAAATAAACTGATTTTTAAGCATAGGTATCGTGCAAATAACCGTGTGAGCATGAAAAAATAACCTATAATTTGGACATTACACACAGACCTCAGACAGATATACTGATATGTAATAATAAAAGTTTATACAAGTGTGACTCGGCTACGTTAAGCTCGCAAAAGATAAGTAAGTTTTAATCATAACGTTATATGCATTACAGATTGACTCCAAAAATCGGATTCCCTTGGTCAGAAATTAGGAACATATCGTTCAACGACCGCAAGTTCATGATCAAGCCGATCGACAAGAAGGCACCAGACTTTGTGTTCTTCGCGCCACGAGTGCGCGTCAACAAGAGGATCCTCGCGCTGTGTATGGGCAACCACGAGCTGTACATGCGCCGCAGGAAGCCCGACACCATCGACGTGCAGCAGATGAAGGCGCAGGCCCGTGAGGAGAAGCTCGCCAAGCAGGCCCAGAGGTTGGTTCTTTACCCTCACTAGTCTAGCCATCTGCCTGTACCACAAACTCTACATGCGTCGTAGGAACTTCCTCCTGAAGCATGTTGATATCATTAAAGATCTTCGATTAGTTTTTCTGTGAACCTATCAATCTGGTTTCCCAGTCCTAGTTCTTCCCCTATACTTTGTCACTACTGTTATACAGGTTACAATAACTATCCTTATCTCAAATTTCAGAGAAAAGCTCCAACTAGAAATCGCAGCCCGCGAACGTGCGGAGAAAAAGCAGCAAGAATACGAAGATCGACTCCGACAGATGCAAGAGGAGATGGAGAGGTCACAGGCCAACCTGCTGGAGGCTCAGGACATGATCCGCCGTCTCGAAGAGCAGTTACGACAGCTGCAAGCTGCTAAAGAGGAGCTTGAACAGCGCCAGAATGAATTGCAGGCCATGATGCAGCGCCTCGAGGAGTCTAAGGTAAATATATATATTAACATGGGACGCCGTGTCAGTCACTCCTTTACCCACGAAGTACCACAACACTTGTGGCTTACTTAGATTAGGTACCTTCAAATCAATCTGATTGTATGTTAGTTGCATAATTAAAAACATATCAATGTACAATAGACTTGTTGGAAATATTTTTCTATGATTGAAGATTAAAATCCTAATCTTAATAGACTTCTGATAAAGATTATATTATTATGTATAGTAATAAATACTCAGTACTAGATTTCATTGATTGAAGACAAATGAATAAGTACTCTACTCTCTGTATTATAAGGTACAAACTAGCTTGCAATAAATAAAATATACGGTGTACTTTAACAATATATGACTACCATTAAATATGTAAGTCATTTTACAACGAATTTGCCAAGAAAAAAACCGGTCAGGTACGAGTCGAATTCGTGCGCCGAGGATTCCGTACCTACTCAGCTTTTACGTAGATTTTCGCGAAAATTTGTAAGTACCAAAATTTATTTTAATTTTCAACTTTTTTTATTTTTGAAATTATTCCTTTATTTGTGCTGCAAGACATTTCGTTTTGCCAAAACTACCATATAGGTTTTCAAACCAAAACGTATAGAGTACGGGTCCGGTTGACCTAGAATTATCAATTTTGGTTGAAAGCAAGGTCTTACAGCACAAGTAAAGACAAAATCCTGAAAAATAAAAAAAGTAGAAAATTAAGGTAAATTTTATTACTTACAAGTTTTTGCGAAAATCGAAATTTGCCCTTATCTTTTTATCGTGTTAACTCAGGACCTTGATTTTTATACACCTAAAAGGGATCTATAGACCTCAGTATCTGGTATAAATTTCAACTTGATAGGTCTACCCGTTCCTGAGAAAATCGGTGGTGACACACGGACAGACGGACAAGAAGTGATCTTATAAGGGTTCCTTTTTTACCTTTTGAGGTACGGAACACTAAAAAAGACTATAAAGTGAAGAACAGTAATTTTTGCTGCTCTATATAGCTGATCCAAGATAGGCTGAGACGATAGAATGTCATTTTGTCACAATCCTATCAAAGGGTTCGTTTCTCTCTTAACTTCTTATAGATACAGGAGAATTCGTTGCTATATCTTAAAAAGTCTATAGGTTAACAAAAAGCATTCCCTACAATCTAAATTCTAAATCATACTGAAACCAGTAATGTTACTTTTGTGGTACAGAACATGGAAGCTGCTGAGCGAGCCAAGTTGGAAGAGGAGATCCGCGCGAAGCAGGAGGAAGTGACGCGCATCCAGCAGGAGGTGGACGTCAAGGACACCGAGACGCGTCGCCTGCAGGAGGAGGTCGAGGAGGCTCGCCGCAAACAGGTAACTTGACCCTCTCTCCACATATACTTTCTAGGTCTTTAATATGTACCTAAATGTTTGTCTGATAAGAATTTTACGGTGGTCCGTGTGACGAGTCTGTGTGGTGACAGATATAGCGCATATTATACACACTGTTTACATGAAGAAAAAGTATACAAAGTTTGTGGTGGTGGTGACATATTAAAAATACGGAATTTCTTCACCCTTATTCGCCCCGTAGGTGTCGTAACAGCTGATTAAGGGAGCAAAGTCTGCAGGACAACAGCACTGCAAAAGGAAAACTTGAAACAAACCCTATATCAACCTGTCTGGCCAGCGTGGTATAGTAGGCCAAAACATCCTTCCTAAGGAGAGGCTTTTGTCCAGGGATTATTAAAGGTTGTTGATGATGATGAATTTGACGGTTTGAGTTTGAAAATATAATGACAAATCCCATGTGAATTTGCTAATCTATATAATCTGTAGCACAGGTTTTTAACCTAATTTAGACACTGGCTCTTCACAAAAAATTTATGTATGAAGAAAACTATATAGGAGTTTAATGCATCACTGTATGTAAATTTGAGGATTGTTAAGGAAATGCTGTACTTTTTGTGAGGAGAAATAAATAAATATATTATATTATTATAATACATACATAATAAATGTGAACTAAATTATGCTATTATGAGTGTGTAAGTTATATGTAAATCGAGAAACAGTCACTATAGTATAATGTTGATGTTTTTAATTATTATTATTCAGGACAGGAGACTGCGCTCATATTCAGTTAATTATCTAACATATGGCAAAGACATTATACTCAAATGTTGAATAAATTCTCTTACACATATCCAAAGAAAAATATAGAACATATAAATGTTGAATAATTCTAAATGACATGAATAATTTATAAAAGTACTAAAATACTTAGTAAACTGTAAATATTTATATAAGCAGTTTTAGCTGTATAGTGACAGTTTCACCTGTCTGGAAGTCATATTGAAATTCTGAAACATCTTAGATTTTATTTTTAAGTTTCACGAATGGGTTCTGAGCCCAAAAAGTCGCGAAATCTTAATAAAACATGCCTATCGAGAGTGAAGTCGTTAATCTTCCGGTTCATTTATTTAAAAACATTTGATGTCGTTCGGAAAGTAATATGTTTGGACGTGTCCAGGACGAGGCGGCGGCGCTGCTGGCGGCGGCCACGACGCCGCAGGAGCTGCACCTGGCGGAGAGCGGCGGCGGCGGCGACGGCTCGTCGGGCGGCGACGGCGACGCGGCCTCGGACGCCGGCTCCGAGTCGGGCGGCGGCGAGCTGGCGCGCGGGCCCGACGACCTGGTCGACCCCGTGGCCGACCGCCGCACGCTCGCCGAGCGCAACGAGCGCCTGCACAACCAGCTCAAGGCGCTCAAGCAGGACCTGGCGCAGTCGCGCGACGAGACCAAGGAGACGGCCATGGACAAGATCCACCGCGAGAACGTGCGCCAGGGCCGCGACAAGTACAAGACGCTGCGCGAGATCCGCAAGGGCAACACCAAGCGGCGCGTCGACCAGTTCGAGAATATGTAGGCGTCGCTCGAAACTAACTGTAAATATTCATTATTATTACTTATTAGTCATTTTTATTTTAGACCCCTGTGCTATAACCTAATACGAGTGATACGCGTCCCGGGAGTCACCGGATGAATCATAAAATCAGGCACACAGATCGTTTTATTGTATGATGGTAATCGTTTTTAAAGTATATTTTGAAATTTATCGGGCCTCACGCGAACGTCGTCGAGCGTGTCGCTATGGATATTTTTACTTGTGGTAGTCGATTCGGTTATTTTAATTGATTAGTCTGTTGATAATTTTAGTGTCCGGCGGATGTGTGTAGTGAGGGTGGACGAGACGATCGACCGACCGTTCTGGTCGTGGCGAGGTTTGCTCAAACAGTTCCGTCAGTCTCGTCCGTGGAGGGTGAGAGGTAGGGGGCGGCCCCTTATTTATTTTTATAATCATTTATAACCTAGATGTAGGAGTTAAGAGCTGCGTGCGTGTAATTATTGTCAGTCGCTCCGGTACACTGATGTAATGTTTATACGAGACCGATATGTATGTTACACTATAGTTGGTAACGTTTAGTTGTCACTATCGCAGTATCGCCCTACGGAACCGTTCCACTTGTTTCCTGAACAAAATTTCATATAGATACTAAAATGTATGCTTGTAGGGAGAATATATATATTTTTAAGTAAAGAAGGCATTCCATAAGTAACGATGCGGTGGCGTCGACTGGGTTTTTCGTGAAATTAAAATGTTATAAAAATATAATTGTTCGTGTTTTGTTTAATATAAGTGCCATCCGTCGCATGTTCATTGTCTGAGTTGCACCAGTATTCCGATGTTTTCTTGTCATTATTTTCATAAAATTTTACAATACCACGTTGCCTTGGATTTAATATAAATTTTTTTCAATAAAATATTTAAGTAAACAATTAATAGTGTTTTATTTGTCTAGAAAATATGCCTCACCTCTCCATTTATATAACAATATAATTTATAATTACAAAAATCATTTTGTTACATTTCATTGAAATTACAAACAATAAGTTATACATTTTGTGTACAATCATCTTTCACATCCAGATGAAGATAAATTCAACAAAGAATTTATTACAATGGTAACCCTAATATACAGACACATATTAAGTAGATCCTAGCTTTCCCTCAGCTAATACACTGTCAGCATGTGGTATGGCAATAAATAAAAAAAATAAAAATCAATTTAAAAAGAAAAGAGGATGTCTGGCATATGTGAAACATAGAATTTATTTTGTAAAAATAATGAATATAACATCACTTTGATAACCAGCGTGAGAGTCGCAGAATCATCTGCGCATAATGTCGCCACACCGCATAACATCGTTACACCGTGGCGACGCGTCGCCACACTAGCAGACGGTCTGACCTTGCTGACAGACGTTTCACATCAAAGAAAAATCTTGCGATATTCTGGGGATGTCAACATTAAGGTTTTCGTTAATTTTCATAACACAAAAGAAATTATTCCCGATGTTAACGCTTAGTAGAGATCGTTTCCGTAGTAGGTACCGTGCGATTTGTGGTAGGTGGTAGGTCACGTGGTGTCGGCGGCGTGGTTGGCGTTCTTGAAGTGGCGCAGCAGCGAGCTCTTGTCGCGGAACTGGCGCTTGCACGCGCCGCACACGTACACGCGCCCGGCGTGCATCATCATGTGTCGGCTCAGACCTGCGCACGCACCACATTTGTACACGTATGCTACCTCGGACTGGCCTAGTGGTTGGCGACCCTGATTGCTAAGCCACAAGTCGTGGGTTCGATTCCCACTCAAGACAAATAATTGTATTATTAGCACGATCATTTGTCTGAGTGTAATTTATTTATAATATTTATGTATTTACGAAATATATAAGTATATTTGTCGTGTCGTAACGCAGACGCAGAGCCACCATAATATAATACCGATCAATTTTATCTTAAAACTAGCTGACCCGCGCAACTTCGTCTGCGTCTCTGAATAGTAATAAATTTTCTCCGTTTTTGAAACATTCTTCATTGGTGCTCCGCTACTATTGGTCTTAGCGTGATGATACACAGCCTATAGCCTTCCTCGATAAATGGGCTATCTAACACTAAAAGAATTTTTCAAATCGGACCAGTAGTTCCTGAGATTAGCGCGTTCAAACAAACAAACTCTTCAGCTTTATAATATTAGTATAGATGATGTACAATGTACTTTGCCGTCATTGCTGTACGTCCACTATAATGAGTCCCTTCCCAGCAGAGCCACTTAAAACATGTACTCGGAACATAAAAGCTACTAGTTTTTTATAAAAACGAATGTACGAATACTGTTTATTGCGTGTTTTAAAACATTATTGGTCAGGGAGCGGTGCTTGACCAGCAGGGATCGGTATTAGGTAGTGTGATCTATGTACTTGCAACGAAATGTTGATACCAATACGGACATTCCTGAGAATAATTCAGCAATCAATCCGGTAATAGAAACTTTGTGCCATAAGTATATAATTTAATAAAATAAGTAATTTATTATTTAAAACTTTGTTAACAGCCAATGTATTTAGTCAACTTGTAATTTGATTTAACAGCCGGGCCATAATTACTTAGAATCATATAGAAACAGATACGTATTCTACGAACAGAAGTACACCATTCTGCATCTTCAGAAACCCTCAAATGGCTTAAATACTAAAATTTTGTAGGAAATTACAGTTTTGGACCGTTTGGGGTCGAGACGCTAAGGGTCATGGGGTCCGAGTGCTCGTGCTTTATATAAACAACTAGTTAAGCAACTGATCGAAATTTCTCGTGATCAGAGGCCGGCCTTTTTCTAGCACAGAGAATTAGAATTGCCATTCAGCGTGCTGCGAGTCTTCTTCGAACGCTACCAGTAAGTAGGTGATGTTTCAATTGCATTATAATATATATATATATATATATTTTTTACTGTAAGCTTATATTTTATGAGTACATAAATTGTAATACCTAACGCCGATTCCTGTTAGGGCGGTCATCTCTGGGCTGTTATTACTTAATTTATAGAGACTACCGAGATCGATTAAATGAGTCGATTACATTTTCCACATACGTGAAATTTGTTAAGGAAAATATGTCAAAAAACAGTGTCCTTTTTTTCTTTCGTTTTCCTATCTAAGGATCTAATGACTGATGATCGTCTTCTAGTTCAGACGATCCAAAAATACCTGTGATCGGTTAAATCGCATTAATGATTTTGAAGTATTAGCTCTATAGCGAGTTGTTTTTAAAAGTAATTTTAAAACTAATATGGGCGCGGTGGACACCAGGCGAGCCGTGACGCCAGTCGTGAGTACGTACCGGAGGCGTAGAGGAAGACCTTGGGGCAGCGCGAGCAGCGGTGCAGCGCGAGCGCGCGCGCGTGCGGCGGGGCGTGCGCGCGCGCGTGCGCCGCCAGCGCCGCGCGCTGCGTGAAGCTCTTGGTGCACGACGAGCACGCGTGCGGCCGACGCTCTACGCACAACACTTATTCTTAACTGTGTTTCAATTTAGAATATATCGTTCGTGCTATTTCAAACGTCTCGACCAGGGATGGGCAAATTTTACCTATGCGGACTAATTTTGACAATAAAATCTGTACGGCAGTCGGTTGATTTAATTTAATTTAAACATTAAAAGATGTACCTAAAATTGACAGTAAGTATTAACATGAGATAGGAAGGAACGGCTCCCGCTTTCCTAAAAATACAAAGGTATCCTAGTATCGTTGTTATTATCTTCTGGAATGAAGGTCACCGTATTTCAACGGTTTAGGGGCCGGCGATGGCCCGCAGGTATACATGTAAATCAACCGATTTAAAACATTTTAAATAAAATGTTGCCATTTTAAACGGTTGAAAACTCGTCTACAAAAATAAAAGAACTGTGTTTTACACTTCATTTGGGCAAATATTGGTCACGGGACGCCATGTTTCGTTTTAGTTAGTTTGAAAATACCTACCTACATTACCTACTACACGAAAACTTAAGTATGTAGGTATACCTAAATATACTTATTTATTATATTATATTACACACACAAGATTAGAGAACATCATTAACACAATGCTGTCCATTTTACTTGTGCATGAAAGAGACAACGCTATGTCTTCAAGGCCATTGCGAGTGATGACGTCAACGAGAATTTGGTTTTAAACCGAATCAAGTGACGTTAAATACCAACACAGAGTTTTTAACTTATCAATAGTTTTTATAACTTAGGTAGGTAATACCTAAGCTTGGTTGGATGGACCAACTAGAATTAAACCCGCCAAGTATATTAATTTCAGTATATCACACATATAAAAAATCTTTACACGGTTTATAGGTACTCCGTCATATCCTCGGTAAAATAAAATAAAAACTAGTTATAAATAAAAAAAAACAGTCATCAACACCAACCGTTTCAAATCCAAAAAAAAAATTATTGTTGGTTTTAAACTTTTTTTTTCGTTTTAAACGGATTGGTTTAATTGGTTTTAAACCGAAGGCCGTAGTTTGCCCATGGCTGGTTTAACGCGTATGTCTTGTAATTTGTTTTTCTGTGTTAACCAAAAAAACTTTTTTTGCGGTATGAAGTATTAAATATCATTATATAATCCGATTATTAATCCTTAAAAAACGTTAAGCGGTAATAAACGCTCACCTTCGTGTATCAGAGCATGCCGCATCATAACTTCCTTCTGACCGAATGTCCGTCCACAATGTTGGCAAGCGTACGGCTTCTCTCCCGAATGTATCCTACGATGTCGGTGTAATGCGCTGCGGGTGGCCAGCTGTTTGCCACACTCGTCGCACCAAGCGCCACTGGCAAAAAATAATCTATTAGGACCTAATATGGTACCCTGCGGCATACCTGAATGCTCTGCTTCTAGCAGGACAGGAACATCGGCTGATCAAACTTCCTAACAACTTGACACGTTATAAATATGTAATTTGTTTGCGTGTTAAATACACATACGTTTTATTTTTCTGCTATAATACAAATAAATTTTTGCTAAATCCTTCTAAAATCATTTTAAACTGTTTTACTGCACCCATCTGCTTAGGTTTAGTTATAGAATCCATATATGCCAAAAATGTGAAAAATCTAAACATGTGTTAAACTCACTTCCTTTTATTTTCTTTAGCCTTCTTACTTTGTGCAGATGGTTTAGTTACAGCATTGTCGGACGTGTATTTGTAAACGACGTCGTTCTGTTCTGAACAGTTCAGTTCTTCTATGGGTTCTAGCGGATGTTCCATCACAATGCTTTCTTCCTGGAACGATAAGAAAGTCAGGATGCTATGCTGCTCTGAATATACGTTATTGAGTGTTCTTTTTTAGTCTAAAAGTGTAAAGAGTTTAAATATTAAAAATATCTGTTAATACTTACCAAAACCTCTTCTTGTTCATCTTCCTCTACCAGTTCAAACACAACTTGGCTACCGTCACCTGTCTCCACATCCAAACTGTTGATACTTTGTTCTGTCAGCACCAGCTCATCATTATCTTGTTGTGTTAACATACCTAGCTGAAGCAGCACAGCCGTCAGGAAAGTCGTGATGTCTGGTTGCTGGATTTCATTTTCTTGGACCTGGTCAAGAAAATTATACTTTTGATAACTGTTGCACTTTTACAATATTATAAAATTATAAAATTAGAACAATTTATTTTATTTTAATAAAAAAAAGTATTATAATAAGAACGAGCTAACCATCAGTGTAGTGACGGATTAAAAATACGGAATGTCACCACCCCTATTCATCCCATGGGTGTCGTAAGAGCCGCCTAAGGGAGCAAACTATGCAGGACAACAGCACTGCAAAGAGAAGGAAAACTTAAAACAAACCTTATACCAATCCGTGTGGTCAGTGTGGTGGGCCGAAACTTCTTTCTAAGGAGAGGGCTATGTCCATCAGTAGACTATTAGAAGCTGTTGATGATGGTGATAGGCCAGTCAGCAGTCGCATGTAGTGTGTTCTATACGAGTATAACATCTAACACTGCGCACTCTTTTGGTCAAATCAAATTTGATAAAAGACGATAAGGAAAGCCGCCACGCATTTTACACACATACATATTATACTACATATATCCGGGATCCCTGTTACGCATTGCCGTCCCTTCTATAATTATCAATGTTGTTTAATTATAGACGGGTAGCTTGCAACCCGTCTGTCCAGCGTGGTATTGTAGGCCAAAGCCACCTTTCTAAGGAGAGGCCTGTGTCCAGCAGTGGATTATTAAAGGCTGTTGATGTGATGATGTGTGATGACCTTATATCTGATGTGTCTATGTTACAGTATTGTAATTCCGAGTCACTACACTAAATTGTACTTAAATTACACAGTTTATTAATCCATAATCAGCGGTCAAGTCTATTTTTAAATCCATTTACCGAGGTAGTAGACACAACATCATTGGGCAATAGGTTCCAGTTATGGACTACCCGGTTACTGACCAACTGGTGTGCTGTATTTGTATTTGCCGGTGCATGGACCAATAATTTTTACGGAATTTTTCCACAGGTTCCAGGAAAGGGTGAGAAAATATGTTATACATCAAAAATCAATATTAAATACTTACTAGTTCTTCAGAGGCTTGTATGGTAATGGTATTTTCTATACTATCTGCACCTGTTACATTTGATAGATCCTGAAAATTATAAAACATTTGTCTATAAGTTTTAAATAAGTTAATAATAATCAAAAGTTCATTCATATCGACATTACACCAGGGCCTCAATTCTGCTATATTATGTTCACGCCAAGCCACTGTCATACCACTATTGAGATGCCATCGAGTGGCCATTGGCATCTGTATAAATATCTACACTAACTCAGTGTCTTTACAGTGGCGATGGAATGGCAGTGGCTCATCAGTGGTGATATCAAAATGATTGACATATTTGGAAAAATAAATAAATCATTTCCTCAAAAAAACGTAATATATTTTCAAATTATAAGGGAATTATTTATTTATTTTTGACAGTGGCTTGGCGTGAAGTTAAAATAGCAGAAATGAGGCCATGGTCAAACTGCACAGCAAAAACACACTCAAGGCAGTAATAGTAGATTATCGCATGAATAAGACTTTCTTAATTCAGAACTAAAGCTTTTGATATGTAATACCAATAATGTAAATATTTTCATCGGTATTGTAAATTGAAATTTGGATCGATCTTTAAACGATTGCTTATCGAACATAAAAATCAAACAAAATCTACCTTGCAATGTTTTTCTATAATATTATTTGCTCATATAAATAATAGAGGTACCAGTTAAGAGCCTTGCAGCACTCCTTATATGTTAAGCATAACATTGGTGTTAGAGTTATGTCCTGTTATAATCATTAGTAGTAGTTTCTGTATCTTTCATTATATATGCTTTATATAGGTTAAATTATAATTGTTTGTTTCATCGTATTAGTTGGAGTAAAAGCTACATGTCTGTTAGCACCAAGCACCTACTACCTAAACTTACCTTCAGAAAACAACTATTTTAATTGTACTACTTACGTTTTTTGAATTGGCAACGTTTGAATTTCCATTAAAACGCAACATACTGACTTCCGCCAATTGATTTTTATCAAATGTCACTACAAATTTCATGTCTTCTTCTGATTCCGCCTTATCTGTAGAATTTTTGTTTTGGGCCTCATTTTGCCTTTGAAATTCCTTTTTAAACTCTGTCTCCTTTACTGCTAAAACATGAGATTTTAATTTCTGATATGACACTTCACATTTCTTTCTAAATGCATAGCATTTGTTGAGGTTATTTAGGCAATCTGTACATATAATATTAGGCAAACAATCTTCATTTTTTATCTGAAAAACAAAAAAAAAATATTTATTTGGTATGAAAATATGGTATTTTAAATTATCTGCAAAAATTTCTTTATTATTATAATAAGTAGTACAATAGTTAGTTTATACTAGTTTCTAACAAATAAATGTTCTGATTCTTGGTCAATAATATCCAATATTTCGGAACACTTTTTAGACTTGCCACATACGTCTAGCCATTGCTGTATAGTTTGCATATAAACTATACTCCTAATAATCTTGTTATTATCATAATCATTAACAGCCTTTAAGAGACCACTGCTGGCCATAGACTCTCACTCTCCTTAGAAAGTAGGTTTTGGCCTACTATACAACGCTGGCAAGATGGGTTGATATAGGGTTTGTGTCAAGTTTTCCTTCTCCTTGCAGTGCTGTTGTCCTGCATAGTTTGCTCCCTTAGTCCGCTCTTACGAGCCCCACCGGATGAATAGGGATGGACCACATGGATAATTGTTATTATGGACTGTGTTGATTTTTTCTTTCATACTACAATAAACTCAGGAGGTTATCTGCCATATACATGTAAAATTACATATTGCTGCTTTTACTAGTCTCAAAAGATATAACTTGATTACTTTGTCATCAGGAGGAATGAGGATAATTATGTGAATTCACTTAGTGGGCTCTTGGACACTGTAGTACATTGTACATTTGTGAGATATGTATGTGTGGATTTTTGTTGCTCAATCTTGCCAGAATTACTCAGAATGGATCTGGATGAAATTTAGCACAGAGCTAAATTACCATTGAAATAGAACATAGGCTACTTTTCATGAAAAACTTGATTGACAAACATAAAAGTGAGTTCATAATAAAAGACATCGTAAAAAGGTCTTATATTTTTTTTTTAATCTGATGACACAATCTTAAGAATAGACTGATCATATAATATCTACTAACTTTTAATTGTGGCTTTGCTCATCATCATCATCAACCGCCATTAATGGTCCACTGCTGGACATAGACCTCTCTTTAGAAAGGAGGTTTTGGCATACTATACCGGCCAGGCAGGTTTGTATAGGGTTTGTGTCAAGTTTTCCTTGTCTCTGTAGTGTTGTTGTTCTACGCAGTTTTCTCCCTTAGTCGGCTCTTACGGCACACACTCTGTATTCTTAATCCGTCACCACACTGACCAACGGCTTTGCTTAAGTGGATATAAATTTTATTATTCCATTTTTACAGAAAAAGTAGCCTATGACCTTTTCCAGACTATAATTTAGCTCAGTACCATATTTATTCCAATTCCGTTGAGCTATTGTAGACTGATAGAGTAGCAAACGTTCATCCATAAAAACAGATTACAGAAACAGGAAAAAGGACACTTAAACTTTGAAATGTCTAATGTTATAATACAACCGACTTGTAAAAAAAAAAGATTTACTTGCAGAAATAAATATCATTTCATTACAACTATAATTTAAGCTGCTTTTCAGATGTTCTTACCTCTAAACCAACACAGATCATAATTCTTAAAGCCAATACAGCGCACACATTGTCTGCTTCTTCGGTGAATATGGGTACCACCCCCTCAGCTTTACACAGACATAGTCTACACAATTCATGCACATTGTCTATGAGCTGGTGGTCAGGCCTTCTACGAGTATACGTTCTCATTGTCGCACAGCCAAGAATAATAAATAATCAAAGTATAACTTAATAAGTTTTTACACATTTGTTTTGTAATACATTTACTGAACACTGTTCAATTTCCTTGCTAATGTTTAGTATATGAATATCGTTCATGAACGATTTAGTTTTAAATATTCAATAAAAGTAAAATCATTTCATCAATAACAGTTATAATAATGCTATTGTAACCAGATAACCTTTTACTTTTTTAAGAAAATTGTAAAGTATAAAAATGAAAATGCAAGGTATATATTTGCTTTTTCTTTAAAGCAGCGATGATTTGAGTTTTAAATATTGTCTTTTATTTGTTTCGTTTTTGATGCGCATTTGACACTGATCTGTAAAGTACTCTAAGCACTCTGACAGTTTTAGTGTATGACAGACTAAAGATGACAGTTAAAAATGTCAATCCAGACTGTGTTCAGAAATACCGTAGCGCATTCATCCGAATCATTTTTGCATAAACCAGCATAAACGCTGCCAAGGTAACGGGCCAAGTGCGAGTTTATTTTACATCAAGTTGATTCAAATCAACTCGATGTGAAAAAAACTTACATTAAAAAAAGTAAAGGTAGTGTTTCCGAGAGAGTGGAAAAATATGTTAACGAAGCCACGGGTAAAACGTCGAACAACATAAATTATAGCATTGGGGTAATTGTTCATAATATTATCGAATATTTAAATAAGTGTGTAAATATCGTTAACGCCTTAAGAAATAACACAGAAATTATAATTTGATAAAGCAGTAATATAGTAACTGATTAATGTTTTAGGAGCTTATAAATTAGACCAAACATTTAATTTGAAATTTTGTCTATACCGGCGACTAGTGTTCCTACTTAACAATTTTTTGCAAACCTGTAATCTAATTACCTAAAAAAGGGAATAGGCTAGGCTAGGCTAGGAATAGCAACAATAACATCTAAGCATAGACGTATTTATGTTCGTGGCTAAAATCTCATAAAAATAAATATGGTTTCAATTTAACTTACTTACTGGTCTTTTTTCGTTCGATAAAATTATTGTTCTTTGGATTGTTTATTCTATTTCTAATACCATAAATCAATTACTTAATTTAAATTCATTTGTTTAACATTTTAAAAGTTTCTTTGGCTAGCGTAGCATATTGAGCCTTAAAGGTGGAGCTTCAGCTTCGACTCGAACTGTGCACAGAGCTAGATGGCTCAAGTCGCGATTCGTACCTTGTGTATAGATTCGAGTTTTGGATACAAGGCTCGAGTCTAAAGCTCGAGCCTGCTAATAAGGCTCGACCCTTCAATGAGTTTAAGGCTCGGATGCTCGAGCTTTTTTAACACCACTACATTAAAGACGACACCACAATCAGTACAAACGAGCAAATGGGTCACCTGATAGCAAGTGGCCTCAACCCATGGACACCTTCAACTCAAGATTCACAAGTATTTTACCAGCCTTGAGTCCCTTTCCCAGAATCAGGGGGAGGGGGAGGTTTGGGCTCCGGTAACATCACTCCAGGCCCATTTGTGTCGGAGAAGACCTCCCACGGTTGAAGGTAAAAGTAGTAGTGTCTCAAAACTTTTTTTTTTTTTTATATAAATCAGCTCCCGCATTAGGAATACATTCCTGTGTCGCGGGGGACTTTACAAACATACATGAAACGGACACAAAGAACACCCAGACTCAGAACAACAATTTGTGGATCACACAAAGTGTCGTCCCATGTGGGGTTTGAACCCACAACACTCGGCGTAGTAGGCAGCGGCGAGGTGATCGCTTAAACCACTACGCCATCCGTGCAGTCAGTCAACTATAATGCGTAATATTAGCCAGAGTTTATTAATTATAAAATGTGCTATTAAAAAAGCCGAACATCAGCTCTAAATACCTCTCTACCTACTTTGTTAATAATAATATCCAATTACGACTTGAAGAAATACCGTTTAAATCGGACTTATTATTATGTACCTACATAATTGTATATTCAGTGTAATACTTACGTAGGTGTAATTACTAACAAGCCAATTTATTTGCAACAATTGCAGAATAATGTAACAAATTATATTTTAATTTGGTATAGTTAGAAAGGTCCTTGAACACAAGTGTAAGAGCATCTTATATATTTTAATAAATTAGACCCCTAATTACACCCACACACTGGCTAGGTTGTGTGGGTGTGTCATTTCTATACTAACATAGGTAAAGATTTTTTGGTTCTTTATTTGTTTGAGAGTGTCACTAGAGATGAGATAGATGACCTATGAGATTTGTTTTTTTTTTATAGAATACAGTATTATTTAAAAAAAATTAAAGGCTATGTAATCATCTATGAGAAGAGTAAAAAGGAAAGGTTTTTAAAAAATAAATTAATATAAGAAACAATAAATCAAGATTATAAAATAAATAAACCAACATATCTTTTGCGGATTTGGTTTGTGTAACGGACTGCTATTCCAAAGATCGCGGTTTCGATTCCCGCTCAAGTCAAATATTTGTGTGCATGAACATTTAATGTTTGATTTGGTCTGGGTGTTTCTATGTAAATAAATAAATAAATAAATGTATAATATGCATTTATGTACAAAAAAGCATATATGTATTTATATCAGTTGTCTACGAGTAGTATCCATAGTACAAGATACAAGATACAAGATACAAGATATTTTATTTGCATAAACATGTGTACATTAAAGATGTTAAGTAATATTGCCTGATCGACATGTTTGACCGTTACCGGTGTACAAATATAAAATTAATTTAACAATAGCATTTTTCTACATGTAACATAAAATCGTTTAAAAACATTTTAAAAAATCAAAAAAAGAAGAAAAAACAATTACAACGAAAGGACTCGAATATCATGGTTATAGGTATACATTATCAACTATTAACCGTCTACATTAATTTAACAAGCTCTGCTTAGTTTAGAACTAGATGCCGTTGTTTGAATGTGGTAAAATAATAATATTATTATTATTGCATGCAAGGGCAACACGGCCCGCTATTTTTTGGATGTCCGATAAATATCTTTAAAACTTGCAAATATCTCGAAGAAGGCTGAATATCTTGAAGTACACCCCTGCACATATAGGAATGCAATTATGTAGTATTCAATCAATTAATGCTAAACTAGACAATTATAATATATGTATTAATAGCAGTATTAACTTGTTCATTTATCATACAAGCCCTATTGTCTAATTAAAACGGGCATCGAAGTTATAAGTGGAGGAAATACCTTTCATGACTCACTTTTCATTGTTGTCGTGTTCTAAAACTTTCTTAACTTGCTGTGTTAACAACATAACAATGAATACCTTTTCTGGACACTACAAGCCCTCAAAAACCACCGAATTTATGATTCAATTAAACAAATTCATTTTCATATTTGGCTTGCCAAGTTTCTGGGTAGAAGAATTGAACTTTCAACGTAATTTCTACAAATTATACCAAAAGTTCAACACAGTTGCTAATATGTGCATTTTCGTATTAATTTTTTCGGAATTCGGAGCATTTTTCACGCAAAAGAACTTAACTAACAAACAGACTTCTGATCTTATGCTGTATACTGTCGCCCATGGCATTACGATCTGCTATTTAATCAGCATGATTTACCATAAGCCGGATCTAAAAGATGTTATATATAAACTAGGAATAGGACTTAAGACGGTCTACAATGATTTAGAAGTCGAGGAGCTAATGATAAAGAGGTCGAAATTCTTTTCTTCAGCTCTCATAGTAAATTGTATGTCGTCGCTTATCTTGATGACGTTCCAAGCTTTTATGAGTACTATTCGTACAGGTTAGTAACCCTTTACTTGTTTATAGGTTACTTAAACCAATGGTTCTTTTTTGTCTTTATAACTTAATATTTCGCTAACGGATTACTAATATGAAAAATATTGTGATCACACTGTTAGATAGACGAGTATGTAGCCTGTGGAAACCCCCTCGGACCGCCACTCCACCGGGGTTTGCGTCGGGGCGGTGAGTCGGAATCGAACCGACTAAAACCATACGGTGTGCCGCCTGCACCTGAAATAGGAGGGAGGGAGGGATAGAGGATTAAGACATCCGGACCAGCTCTGATAATCCCTAAGCTAAACGGTGGAAACTGGAGACCAAAATTCCTGATTTATGGCAAGACTACTGTAAGCTGGCAACGCACTGGAGACTTCGTTGCTGGTGTCCATGGGCGGCGATTAACCCGTTAGCTCGTCAGCCCCTACGAAACTCCAAAAACCTAACATTACAAGCTCATTAGAGCCACCCGACACCCGACCAGCATCGCCTCGTGTTGGGCGTTTAGTATTCTTTGTATGGAGTACCATGTAGTTAGCGTTTACCCATAGGTAAACGCTAACTACATCAACTCCGGAACGCCGGTTGATCACGCGTGTATGGCTAGTGAACCACTCGGTGACTTAACGTTGCTCGCACGATTGCCTTGCGTTGCCCTCGCGCAGGTCCCAAACAAATCGCAACAGGACCGGACCGGTCCAGAAAAAAAACGTTGAAAATAAGCTGAATATTCTATCCATTGTGTCGTAAGCTTGAGCTTTAAACCATTTATTATTTTATAACAATTACAAATGGTCAATTTTATTTCTGCTAGATTAGAATGACACAGAAAAGTAAAGAATTAAAAAAAGAACGCCTATTTATCCGGTAACTCAAAGTCCACTCATTGAGCACGCTAAGTTTACGGGTACTTTGGTTGGTTTGGGTTCACTGGTGGACCGCCCGACGTTCACTAGACACCGTGGACAACGAGTGGACACCGAGCGACGAGGTGGTGAGGGTCGGGTGTTGGGTGGGCCAATGGGCTTTGATCTTTATAGCACTAAAACATTTTCTATACTACCCAGTCATCAAATTTTTATTTATTTTGACATAATTTTTTTTTCAGGTGAACCGTTTACCACCGTTATCACAGTGATACCCGACATTAAAGACGACTCCACATTTAGTAACGTACTTCGAGGCATATACAACATATTCTGGTTGATATATGTCACTCGTCTCTTCTCTGTGTTTACTTTAGTTATCTGTCTTACCACAGCCATGAGCCATCAGTTCATAAACCTAAACAGTTACTTCTGCAGCCTCAACAATATTTTTACAGAAGATAACTTTGGGACACATAAAGAAAGAGAAGAAAAATATGAGAAGAGTCTCAAGATTGGCATTGAGCTGCATTCTGAATCACTGAAGTATTTTAAACAATTTAATTTTTCTTCTATTTAATTTTGTGTATTCAGTCGTGTAGAAAGTCTGGTTTAGGAGTTTTAAAAAAATCGTATCGTTCTCGATATTGGCAGTTACACTTTTAAAAGAGTACCTTGATACTCTCTCTCTCTCTTCAATGGAGTACTTTCTTCCTGAATTTTTCACACTTAGGCGTTTTTTCTTTTTTGGCGATGAGACCAAACGGAAAGTGTACTCTCACAAATACAAGAGTTTTCCAAATCGGTTTGTAACCGCAGTTATGAGATAACAATCCATTGAGTTAAACATGTGTAATATGTATAATAGATCAATGTAACAATGATTTAAAAAAAACAATCAAATTCAGAACGTCTCTCTTCTTTTTAATTTTTTTAAAATATCGATTATAATATGGCACAAAGCAGCCCACGTTTTTTAACAATAAGTTTAGTTTTTCGCGTTTTGAGTGTATTTTAGTTTTTCTTTAATACATTTCTTTTAAGAATTTTATACAAGAATGTGGGGAAAAACAAAAGCATAACTAGGTCACAGCAATCTAACGAAGACACACCGAACTACTCATCCTGTATCGCGATATGAAAAGTTCTCGCGAAGTTGTATAAACGCTTTATACAACTTTACAACAACAACCGTTGAGCCACGCTCCGCCTGGCTTGATCATTTCGCCTGGTCAGAGGTTCTCCCTTTGTGCTGGAAGAACATGACACCAGTTCCTCCATAAGCATATTATTGATCACTGTAGCCTATAACTAAGTACAAGTTTTTAAACAAGCGTAATACATAGTTACCTGTTCCTGTGTTACTAAACTGTTCTTGACAAGTAAAGTGGTTTTTGGTGTTGTAGGTGTACAAACCAGATCCAAAACATATGCAGAGAAGTGTTCAGTGGTCAGATAATATTCAATATTATCCTACTTGTTGTCCTTATGTATCAGATGGTGGTAAGTACACACGGCAAATGTAATTTATAGTAATATTATAAAGGTTTGATTTGTTTGAACGGCGCTAATCTCAGAAACCACTTTTTCCCAAAATTATTTTATAGGTTAGGCAATATTTTATAGGCAATAGGTTATATAATATTATGCTACGACATATAGGAGCAGAGGACCAATGAAAAATGTTGCAAAAACGGGCAAATTTATTCGTTTTGAGAGACGCAGACGCAACTGCGCGGGTCAACTAGTCTAAACTAAACTTACAAAGACGTCAACACTACAAACATTATCTACATATTATTTGTAGAAACTAGAAACATAAAACGTGTTAAAAGCTAATAAAATATTAAAAAAAAAAACAGGCAAATACGAATGTGTCTCACGCGTCGATTGTTACGTGCAAGTTTAAATATACCATACTTACTTAGATACTTTGCTAAAACTTAACATAAATGACTAGTTATTTTATCTAAGAAATCGAATCTCAAACATTTTTACAGTTTATAGAATATTCTTATCACCATGTATTGTAAACAACTATATAATCTAGTTAAACGTTCCTTGCGTAATAAAAATCAGGGTATGGTAAACATCGTCAGCGTTATGGAGACGGCAGGAACGCTGAAATGATCAACCTGGCATTGTAACTCAGCCCATGTACTTTTTGACGATAGTATTACTGTCTGTACGGAACTAATACTGGAACCACTTATGTGAAAAAGCCTACATTTTTACTTTACAGAGCTCCGATCGTACCCTAACTAATACAATCACTTTACTCGTGATAGCAGCAAACGTTTTGCTCAGTACTGGATTTTTTGTTTACAACGCTGGAGACATCACACTCGAGGTTATTGGTAATTTTAATCTTCATCAACATCCTTTAACAGTCCACTGCTGGCCTCTCCTTAGGAAGGAGGTTTTGGCCTACTGTACTACGCTGGCCAGAGGGGTTGGTATAGGGTTTGTGTTAAGTTTGTATTCTCTCTGCAGTGCTGTTGTCCTGCGTAGTCCGCTCCCTTAGTCGGCTCTTACGACACCCACGAGATGAATATGGGTGGTGACACTCTGTATTCTTAATCCTTCACCACACGGGATACCACCGGGATACCACCAATATTTAATCTTAATATATGACAATGACATAGGTCAGAATTCACGTGCTATTATAATTTATATTGACCTAAAACTATGAGTCAATCTGAAGTGAAACCAAATGGAAAATTAAAAACGAAATGAAATCGGACTAAAATTTTCTGATTAACTGAGAATCTTTTTTATCATCATAAATCAAAAATACCTTTTAGGCATCTAAAGAACGCACCAGGGACTTCCTTTGCACCAGGGACTTCCTTTCTAGGGTATACCTGGTTCCCCGGCTATTAGTACCCGAGACGGCCCGCGGTTTTAGTCGGTTCGAGTCCGACATGCCACCGATAGGTGGTATCCGAGAGGATTTCCGCACGGAAAAAAAAAGGCATTTAAAGAACATAAGCCGTATTTGGTTGTATCTTGTGTCAAGAATAGGTTTTAAGCAGACTGATTACCTCTTTAAAACATCGTAACTTCCATTGTTAAGCCGGACACAATAGACACGATCACCGACATTTCAGAGTATCTTCTCTCGTTCGTTTTCCAATAGTATAAAGGTATACTATTAGGTATATCTAGCTAACTGATTGGTCACTGATATGTGCTAATCGATAATTAGTTTTGTATTTAAAAAAAAAAACGCCAGATTCTTGTTTTCATACATGTTTTTTTTTTCTCTTATTCCTAATTAATTAATTAATTGGTAGGTACGAGTAATTGTAAATAGTGCAAAATTTAAAAGCAAAGAAATAACTAAAACTTTTTATTTTACCGCCCTTTTTTTAGGCAGAAAAATTAATAACATCTGTATATTTTTCGGGATGGGAGAATTGTTACGGCGATTGTTCGAAGCGAGTCAGAAAACTTATCGTCATAGCAATGATGCAAGCGCAGGTAACTATCTTATTTACTGTATTGGTATTTTTCAAAATGTGTCATTCCTACGCTAATAGTAGATTAGTTGATATTCTTGTCCCACTGAGCAAGTACACAATCAAAGGACTACCATATGGGTACAAGACCTCGGTCTCTCCGAGATACTGCAACCTTCTATTTCTCATTCGACACTTAGGCCCGGTATCTACCACAGCAGAGAGGAGAGGAGACGAGAGGAGATGGTCTGCGAAGCTGGCAGGTTATTTCTACCAAAGCGGAGACGTGAGCTGTGTGTAGCAATGGTGTAAGCCGTGAGAGCTCTAAACTAGTCAAGTACTGTACTGTACTGTACTGTCAAGTCCAGTCAGTCAGATCACTGTAGCTACGAAAGGACGACGTCATCTGTAGTGGCTTAAGCGGTCACCTGCACTTCCTACTGATTGTTGTGGGTTCGATCCCCACATGGGACAACACTTTGTGTGTCTTCTTGGTGTTCTTTTAGGTTAGGCTCCATTTCATGTATGTTTGTTAGTCGCCGACGACACATGATATATTTCTTATTCGGGATTTGTCCTTTTAATAAAGAACATTATTTCTTTATTTTCTATCTTAAAAAAAAATAACCAACAAAATATTTAGCTGTTTGTTTTCATTTTCAGCAGCCAGTGGTTTTTTCTGGTCTCGGAGTTATACCACTCTCTTATCAGTCTTATGTGTCTGTAAGTATTAAAAATAACTAAATAAGGACGTCTTAATATGGTATGAGACCAAATCTAATCATTGACTGTTTATTACGTCAAGCGTTGTACGCTTAGATCCTTTAAACTAAGGTATAGATTTTAATGCGGTTTTCATTAATTTCATTAAACTAAATATCTTAAGAGATATCAGAGATTAAAAATGTGGTGGAAAGCGGCCGTCGCGCGTCGTCGGGCCTTGCGTCCGTCCCAGATGGTAGCGACCGGCAGAAGCAGAGCGGGCCTATAAATATTGTATATTAAGATGCCTTGTAGTTTAGTCTTATTATAATAATAGTATAATTAATTACTCCACACTGACACCATATTAGTAGTAACTACATTACACCCGTGCGAAGCCGGTTCGGAGTACTGTGTTTTTATTTTGCTCGCTTTATTGAATTTCCAAACTTTTAGCTATATGATCATTATCATTAGCCTATCGCAGTCCACTGCTGGACTTAGGCCTCTCCCAAGAGCTATAACAAGGTGGATGCAAAAAGCCGAAAATCGATCTAAGTGGCGTGCAGTGGGAGTGCTATTTAATAACAACTAAAAAATGTTCTTTCATTTAAAAAGATTCAAAATTTTATTTTAAGTAACTAGGTAGATGTTTTATTTAAAAAAAATAACTATGTCACTTAATATATCGTATTATAAACATTGTTCGTTACGCCTTTACTTTTAAACCGATCATAAAAGAAACCTTGTGTACGCGTTGTTAGGGTCACGGGGGTCACGGAATAAAAAGAAAGGGCCACAGAATAAATACAATAAACGTAACGTACCTACCTATCATCCATATTAAATACAGTTGGAGCCAACAAACATCCTAACGTGTGATTTAATGTTTCAGATTGTCAAATCGTCTTATTCAGTGTTTTCTGTACTATATTGAAGATAATGAGATTAAGACATTGGACGGTTTACGTTTTTAGTTGTAGCAATCTAATAAATATATTTTGTTGCAAATATTCTAGGCCTATTTTATTTCAATAGTTAGGCTTTTGCAATGCTAATTCCTTTTAATGTGGAACATCTAATGTCATCTAAGGTCAGGTAAGACGAGCTGTAGGCATGGCAACGCGTCGGCACGGCATGCATCACCACGCTATGTGATAGTAGGTATATGTAACATGTAATGCGGTGTGGCGACGCGTCACCATGCGCAAGTGACTCTGCCAGTATCTCATTCTGATTATCATAGTGATTTTATACTTGTTAGGTTGAGGGGAAAACCCTTCCCATCCACTCGCGGCCACACTTAGGGCGGCATGAGGCGGTGGTAAGCTTCATATTATTTGCCATATTTTGGTCAGACAAGAACGTGGACACGCCGTTAGCACTTGCCGTCAGACTGTTGAACTACGTCCTGATGTGGTACTACACGTTGCATTTGGAATGTGTAAATACGATGGTATTCCTTCTGGTCCTGATACCAAGCTATCAGTTTAAAGATCTGCAAAGTTATTTCTACGAACCTAATCATATTAGGTCTTTACCTATGAAATTGCCGTTTTGTATGCAATAAGTGAAAGTACTTATTTTTTCAACAATTTTTATATTTTTATACCAACATTTAATTTCTTTTTGCACTGGGTACAAAAATAACACCGGGTAAGTTGTAATGACTTACTAGTGAGTTTAAAATTACATTATATTTAAGTGTTATTAGAACTATATAAATATACATATCGACGACTATGCGGCATGTGTTAGTGCCTTCGACTGTCGTTTGTCGTTTGACTGTCGTGACATTACGAGTAGCTGTCGCAGGCTTGATCAACGCTCAGTGGAAATATTTGTCAGCAAGAATACCTCTCCTTATATTCGCTACGTAGTTGAAGGTATATTATACAGTCATAGAAAACAAATTAGCTACCTACATTTTTTTGTTCAGTCACAGGATCACGGAACAACGAAATGAAAAAATGTCGTCGAGATATTTAGGTATAGGCGACGTCTCACAATCTGTACAAATAAATAAAATTGGAGTGTCTGTTTGTAATATTAAAATAACCGCTTTTTACTAAATGCATATGTATGTTTACACGGTACATATGCCAAACTAACATATGTTACAATTTTGTCTGTCTGTCTGTCTGTTTGTTCCGGGTAATCTCTGGAACGGCTGGACCGATTTCGACCGGACTTTCACTGGCAGATAGCTGATGACATAAGGAGTAACTTAGGCTACTTTTTTTTGACTAGCTTCGCCCCGCGGCGTTGCCCGCGGTTATAACAACAAACGCGGGTAACACCGCGGGTCTCAGCTAGTAGTTAATATAAATATAACAGGCACTAATTGAAGATTATTATGGCGCATATAGTTTGTTACCTGGGAGAACCAGGCTTCAGAATGAATAGGCAGACTAGACCGGAGTGATGCCACCCTCACAGAAAACTGGAGTTAAGCAAATTTATCCATCATTTTCAACGAGTAAGTGAGGTTACAGGATATCTACCTCCTCCTCCCCTCCTCCCATCACATTGTTACCATCGTTAGGAAAGCTTTTAGAACGTCTTGTAGTGCCCCGGCTTCTGCCAGGTGGAGTCAAATTTCATGATAGACAATTTGGATTTACGTTGGGTAAATCGACAACTGACGCTGTTATATCGGTTAGAAAGTTTGTCACAGGGTCAAAATTTCAATACGTGCTGGCTATTTTCTTAGATATATCTGGCGCCTTCGACAACGCATGGTGGCCCATGCTGTTGCTGAAATTAAAATCACGGGGGTGTTTTAAAAATATTTATTCCCTTATCTCTTCGTACTTTTCACAAGGTACAACTAAACTAAGACTTGGTCATCATTCTGTGTCGAAGGCGCTTACAATGGGATGTCCTCAGGGATCGGTGCTAGGTCCATACTTGTGGAATATCGGCTTCGACGATTTTCTTGCTATACCAATACCATCCGGATGTACTCTGAACGCGTATGCTGATGACGGCTTATTACTGGTGGAATCTGATACTAGGGCGGGGCTTGAGAGATTAGCCAATAGATGTTTGAACTTGATATCTCAATGGGGTGAACGTAATCGCTTAACTTTTGCACCCAACAAAACCTTCCAGTTACTTTTAAAAGGTAACCTCAAATCACCGCCGACCATTAGATTTGACAATGTTACTGTAAAAAATAAAACCACAGTGTGTTATCTGGGATTAGTTTCAGAAAGAAACTTTTCATTTATCGAACATATTAAAATAGTTAATGAAAAGTCTAAAAAGAGTTTCTGTGCATTGACAAGGATATCAACTGCGACATGGGGTCTATCATTTAATACATTAAAGATCATATACGGAGCTACTTATTTAGGTTCTATGTGCTATGGTGCACCTGTATGGGCCGATAGGGCGACCGTAGGCGCTGTCCGTCGCAAACTGTTACAAGGCCAACGACTTGCACTGATATTCTTGTGTAAGGCATATAGGACGGTTAGCACTGAGGCTTTGCCGGTGTTGGCGGGTGTGCTTCCGGTCGATCTCGAGGTGCAGAGACGTGCAGCCATGTACTATTCAAGACAAAACATGGAATGCGATTTCTTGGGCGCGCGGGATCGCGGTAAAATTACAAGATTGCTTCAACAGCAGTCCGATGTCTATAATGACCTCATAGACGAATGGCAGCAACGCTGGGACGAATCATCCAAGGGGCGCCATCTTTACCAATTTTTGCCATCTGTTCGCGAACGGTTGTCGAGGACATGGCTTGAGGTGGATCTCTGTGTCGCTCAATTTCTTACGGGTCATGGTAACTTTAAGAGCAAGCTTTATTCATTTAAATTAGTCGAGTCACCATTGTGTCAATGCTCAACACCTAACTCTCACTATGAACAGTCTGCTCATCATATCCTCTGGGAATGTAGTCTTTGGTATAATGAACGTAATATAATGCTGAATAGCTTGCAGGTGACATCTGGGGCGGTATACTATGGGGATCTTGTGTCAACTAGGGTGAATTTCCGTGCGTTTAGGCGATTCTGCCATACATATTATAGAAATCAAATATAGCTCATGTAGGACCCGTAATATTTTGTGGCCGTGGTGCTTCCCTGTTTAAAACGGTGTATGCCTATTTTACTTCATTTTGTCTCCCGCTTTGCTAAGGAGGGAAGTGGATTTACTGTATTTCCAACTCCTCCAATTTCCTTTGATTAATTTCGTTGCGGGTTCCAAGACAGTTTAAATTCTTCCTGGGACTTCCCGAGTGTCATAACTCGGTGTGTTCGTGGGTCACTGCTGTGGATCCTGGTGTACAGGAGTTACAGTGGTGGGCGTGTGGGTGGGATTAGTCCTCCTCCCACCTCAAGGTCCTTGGAGGAAAACTCAAAGCACGCGCTTGTGACTCTAGTTTGACACTAGAATTCGAGAGCTGGTTTAGTGTTGATACAGAACATCCTAGGTAATATATTCGAAGTGACATGGTTTCGTGAAGCGTTTACACAGTAGTAATAGACACTCAAATAAAAGAACACAACAACACAGCTTTGTTTTTTTTATTCTTGTATGTACCCTTGTGTGTACCTACCTAATAAGTTTTAATTCGCATAAAGTTGGTAAGTACTGTTGTACCCCACGGATTTTGTTCAGGGTCAAGTGGTAGATCAACAGATCTACCACTTCACATTGAACACCCTGATCCGTTGGGTGGTTTCCATACGAAAAAAAAAACATTAACAATTAATCAAAAAGTGTTAGATTAATTAATAAATTCTCTATATATTACAATAATATAAAGTAATTTTATATTCGTTCCACCTTTTTAATGGATAAAACACACTAAATATATCATAGAGAAACGTGGCAATACCCCTTACTTTACAAGCTGCCTATAATTCATTTTGATTAGAAAATTACAATAATTAATAGTATTTAAGGAGTTGAGAAATTCGAAACACTTCGGTACAGAAATGTCAACCTTACGAATTTAATTACGAAATTAACAAAATTTTCTAACAATTAAAATCAAGTTCGAAAGGATTCGTGTTGATAATATGATTAATAAATGAGGTGCGTGAAACATTTGGGGGGGAGGGGGTGGTCACAGAGGGTGGTGACGCACTTGTATCTCTTGAAATGTAGCTTAGCAGGTGTCCCTGGGCGGCGGTAATCGCTTACCACCAGGTGACACCCCCGTTCTACGCTCTTACATTTCTTACTTCTAATTGTATTGCTTTTGCAATTGTATACTCTTGCATTTGTTTTGACCGTATTTTGTTTTTGCTAATAAGTGGAAATTACAATAATATTTCATAATAATCAAATCCTTTTAAAAAAAAGTTGAATCGACTTCAAACAATACTAACAAAGAGCACTAAAAACCTAGCAGCAATCGCGGTTGATTTGCTGTCCTTTTTTAAAGCATTCCGTTGTCTGTCTCCGAATCATCAGATCAATATGAAATTTAAATGGAATAATTTTGGTATAAACCCTATATGTCTATATATGAAGGAGTTATTTATGCCCGAACATACATAAAATATATATAGGTATATAAACATCCGAATTCATAACCTTCTTTAAGTCGGTTATAAATAACATAACAAAACGGAGGTAAGCTTCAAAATAAGACTGAAAAAAGTGAGTACGAGGATTTAACGATCTGAAACAAAAAAAAATATAATTCCATTTAACAATCGTTTTAAGAACCAATCCTTGGTAATCTACACAAGGAAAGGATATAATCCATATTAAAGGAATAATTACCGATGAATATAATAATAAATAATATAATATAACCTCACACATCTCACACACGGCCGTCTGGCTTTGGTGACCAGCAGTGGTATTCACCAAGCAAACAGCCTTACACAGCGCTGCCACAGCGTCGAATTTCTTATTAGTAGTTTGGAATTCGACGCAGTCTTAGCGCTGAAGAAACCGACCGAACTTTTA